TAGAAATTGCAAGAGAAGGTAAACTAGCATGTTTTGCTTTGCTTGCAAGGCATCTTCAAAAATTATCACTACTGTTTGTATATAGTAATTAAGTCTTACTGAACTGAAAACAGGACTGGATTATTAACATTCACCAAACAGAAGTGACTTCTTTAGCTGTCACGCTGGTAATGCTTTACATTTCATTTCAAGATATCTCGTAATGACGGCGAATAATTCTGAAGGAATTTTCAGGTTTAATTTGGTTGATAAAAAATGGATAAGCACTCGCGATAATATATCACTGGATGCTTTGCTGAATAATGAATTTCGAAAGATTTTTCAAACGGAAAATATTGATTTTAGTGAATATTTGTAATTGCTGTTCCGAATAAGTAGATGTCTCATATCTTTCAGTTTCATCCGGAAGAAGTTTTATGGTGCTAATTGTCTGAATATTCTTGCAAATTACTACCAACTAGATAAACTACCACTGTTAAAAACTGTAGCTTAATTTCACTAAGTACACGGCAGACTACCCTTGACTTACTAGAAATTTCTGTAAATAGGTTTGATATGCGCTAAACACTGTCTGGTATCAGCCAACCTGCGACGAAATATTTCAGGTGAGGTTTTATAGAAGGAAGGATGTATCCTAGAGGATTGATGCGTGTTCATCGATTAGATCAGATATTGCATGTTATGAAAAGTTTAGTATTGTCATTTAAAAAAGTTTTATTTTATTTCCCTTGAGCGATAGAAAAAATAAAGAGTAATCAGAGTATAAAGCTTCTACTTTAAAATATTGTTCCAATACTTGATAGTTTTTTTTTCTCTACCACATACCTTCATATTTGTTTCAAAACTAATATCTGCAAGTTTAGAAGTTTTGTTTGACAAAGTGATAAAAAGCGAATAAATTTTCTGAAAAAAAGGAAAACAGTAAATTGTTTAGATTTTAAAACTAGGAGGATAGTTTAAATTTCAAATCAAATGTACTGTAAGCAATAGGATTGAAACTAATTAAGTGTTATTTCTTTTTGCTTTTTCTGTGCATTCTATTTGCCTGAATGAAAGAATGTGCATTCATCAAGTTTGTTTGTAGGACTTTAAAATTTAAATTCTACGAGTAATATTTCTATATGCTGCTTTATTTAGGCTTATTACCTGAATTGTTGCTTAATTATAGTAGCCCACACGTATTAACTTAATTATTGCTTCAGTGGGATAGCTTATTCACGATAATTTACTTTTCACTTATTTAGGTTTATTACTTACTTATTTAGGCTTATTACTTGAATTTATTACTTATTTAGGCTTATTACCGCTTGGGAGAAAAGAATGTCAACATGGATTACAAAACAGTTCGGACATTTTTCATTTTAGTAATTTGATACTAGTAGTTCATCACTTATGGTGCCTATCATTTGATTATGATAAGTAAATAAACTTGAATTATTCGTCTGTTCAACTAGGGAAATATTGATATAGTAATCTACTTATTACTTTAAAGATAACTGAGTTAATTACGATTGCTAGAAGGAGGGATTAAATATGTTCTGAAAAAATTTTCTTTCATATTTACCATGTTTATGCGCGATACGCAACGGTTATTAGGATCTACTATTGCTAATAAAAATTTCCTCTCGGATATCCATGGCTGGGAGAAAAGAATGTCAACATGGGTTACAAAACAATTCGATAGTGATATGGAGAGAGTTGAAATGTCAATTCCCATTATTGAGAAACCAGATGAGCTTCTTCTCAAAGTTAAGGTTTGTTTCATTTTTAATTCATTTTTTAAGTTAGGATTATACAGTGAAATTTGTCTTAAATTTTCCTTGAAATCGAATCCAAATTTCCATTTTCTTTTTATTATAGACAGCTAGCGTAAACCTAATTGATACTGTAATGCGGAAAGGATATGGACGACAATTATGTTCAGCAGTAAAAAATTTCCGAAATTGTTCAGTCGATCCCACAACACTGTTACCATTTATTGGTGGACGAGATTGTAGTGGTATTGTTGAAGAGACTGGTAGAAACGTGAAAAGATTCAAGAAAGGTGATGAGGTAAAAGCAAGGATTTTTTTTTTCAGGAATTTTAAAATTATTCTAATGAAGGATGACGAGGAAGTCAGTCGGTCATAGTTTATCTATAGTTATCTTTTCTGATTTCTCTGAATTTCCAAATTTTAATAATTGTATAAGTTTCATTTTCATTTTGCATGAATTTTTTGAAAAATTTATAACCAATTTATTGCAGTGGTGAGAATTTGGATTTGTCGAACATGAAAGTGAAACTTATGTAAAGGTGTATTTGAAATTACGAATATACCTTTGATTAACTGTGTTTTTTTCTTGTTTTATTTTTTTATTTTTTTCTATATTTTTTTTAATTTTTTCAATATTTTTATTTTTCTTGTTTTTTCTTGTTGTTAAATCAAATTTATTTTAGGTAATTGCTGTTGTTGATCCGTTTAGTTCAGGAACACATGCAGAATTCGTCGTGGTAAACGAATCAAATTGTGTCTCAAAGCCGACTAATATATCGTATATTGATGGTGCCGCATTCCCATATACAGCTTGTACCGCTTGGTCAGCACTAGTTTCGGTAATGAAAAATACAAAGTTTGTTGCATATGTGTTTGGTATTCCAGACACCTGGTCCTTCCATATTTAACAACTATACTAATTGAAGAAGTATAAAGCTAAAATTTAATTTTAATTTCTGTTAAGCTTTGGCTTAAGAATCCGTTTTAGCGAGATGTTGGATTAGCAGTCGAAAAATCATTCGTATTCAACGTCCAATCATTTCATTATCTGAAAAATGTGTTGTCTGAGGTGTTCCAAGAAAATCGAAGTATTTTTAAATTTGAAAGAGGTTACTTTCCCATAAATTTTAGGTAGCTCGAATTAATTCAAATAATGCTGCATCGCAACGTGTACTGATACATGGCGGTGCTGGTGGTGTTGGAACAACAGCGGTGCAAATGCTGAAAGCATGGAATATTAACAAGGTGGTGGTAACATGCTCGAATGATTGGTAGGTTAATTATCGCAATTCTTAGGTTTCAAAAAACTTTTTCCAGTAAACGAATAGATAAATAGAAGAATAATAAGTGGGAAGGGTTAGGTAATGTAGCGTATCTGTTGATGACGGCGTGTTTTGCATAGCAAAGTTTTCTGGGTCAAATCATTTCATTTAATCTGCTGAGTCATCAATTATTTATACTGCCTGTCTTTGTTAACAATTACTGGATCACTTCAAAAATAGATCAGAATAAAATTTGGTAGTAATTGATTCATTAATCCATTCTAGTTGCAAATATTTTAAAGTGTCAAAGATTTCCGAGAATTAGTGTTGTGTTAAGATGGAAAGCTTTCGGAACTATGGAAGTTAGTTTCGGAAAATTCTGAGTTATATTTGGATTACTTGCATTACTTTTTTATTTGCGCCGCTATTTCAGTTTTGATATGATGCAAAGACTTGGAGCTATACCGATAGATTATAAAAGTCGAGAGGCTTTGGAAAAGTTAATCAGTGAAGGACCATTTGATGTAGTGCTGGATTGCGCTCAATCGGAATTGACAGAATGGAGCAGTAAAGTAATGGGATTATGGCGCAATAGTGTGCATGTTTCTCTTTTGAGCCCACTTCTCAGTGATACTGATAGGTTTGATGATTGTATTGCTTAGCAAAAAATTCAATAGAATTTAAGCCTAACCATAATTTTATAGCGGATTTTCCAAAATAGGTTAGAAAATGTTAACCATGAAGTCCTTCTGCTTTAATTTTCATGGATTGACATGTAGCAATTAGGGCATATAATCTGTTCTATCCTCTTTTCTCTATGATCGAATTTTCTTTTTTCAGGTATGGAATACCATTTGGGATTGCATCAACTGCTGTAAAGTATTTCCTGAGAGCAACATTGGTCCTTTTTTTTATTAACTTTTTTTTCTTATTCCAGTTTCTCCTTTTTTGCTGGGATGAAAATTTCTGTATGTTCGTATGACAATTATTGTGATTTTACATCATGCAAAAGTGTGCGTAACTCATTCTATTAAATTCAAGCTTAAGCTTAACTAGCTCTTATGCCAAGACCCCTACACTTGTTAGTGATAAAGCTATATACGAGTTAGTTTCTTGGGTTTAAGTTGGATTTATTTCTAGATTAAGGTATGGAATCTAAGAATTTCCTGGTAGCTTTCAGCTTTTCCTACTTGCCGTACTTAGTATTATTTCAGGTCACTGCAACTTCAGCGTCATGTATATAGTAAAAGTCAATTTTTCTGATTCCCAATAGTTCCGATGTATTCCTATCTTCTACAAGGTCACCTTTTCTCACTGTTTAAAATAATAATGAATTCTACTGGACATTTCATTTTTAGCCAGCAATTCGACGTGGACAGTGGTATTCATATGCGTTTTTTGCCCCACATCCAGAATGTATGCAGCAAATTTCGGAATTTCTGAAGGACGGCAAGGTTAAAACTTAATTCGGATAAGAAAAAACCTTATAACTGTTTTTAAGCTATTTTGTTTCTCATTTCTCTTTTCCATTAAAACTCTTGAAATTTCAGATGAAGCCAGTGATTGATCAAATTTTTAAATATGATGAACTTCCGATGGCTTATGACAAAGTGTTGAAAAAAAGGGGAAGAGGCAAAACGATTATCAATATGAGTGAAAGTTAACCATTGTATAGTATTCGTCGTGAATATAAATATAAAACAATCTGAATTATAAAAGATCTTTGTCTACTTAAACATTATAATGGAAAGCATACAAATCAAGCAATTCCTTTAGGTCATTTGATTGGGTGGTTGCCAATTGTGTAAATGTAATCAATTTTCATTTTTATTTTTGAAAATATACTCTGAACCATTGTATCGTTAATCTATGTGTTTCAGGATTGACAACTTTTGCTGTATGTAAAAATTCAGGTCAAATTGATTTAACTTCTTCCTCTGTATACGAATTACATTTTCCAGTACGTTGAGTAATAAATTTGGTCGATGATTATTTCAAAGAATTAAAAATCATATGGATGTAAAACTTTCCAATAATTATTGATCGAATTCGCCGCCGCGGCGAGTTTGAGTGGAAGTATCGGAATTTCATGAAAGAAAGAAAACAGTAAACTAAGATGAATTGAACTTCAAGAAAATAACTAACTTCATAAAACGACCATCAGAAGGTCTAAGGTCTCTTTGACCACAAAATTGAAAATGATGTTGCATTTGGACGCAGTTTCAAAGATAGTACACTTTGTGATTGCTACTTGCCGGAATAACTCACTTGTCATATATTCCAAATCTCAGACATATTTCAACCTGAGATCGCTATTTAACAACTTCAAAAGAACTTTTTGTCTCACAATAGAGAGAGGAAAAGAGAAAATGAAAATTTAATTAAATCTGGGGAATTCCGACAAAATGGATATGGTTGGAGATTCGAAATTTTGGCAAAGGGAAGAACAAGTTGTGAAACAATATTTGTACCTTTCTTTCAAAAGAATGTTCGCTTCCTTTCTGATAGTATATTTCACATACTAATAAAG